TTGGCGGTCGATGTTCTGACCTATCAAGCCCCTAATCCCATTCTTGCTTTTAAACTGTTTCACGACGTTACCCGGTTGCCCTAACACGCCGTTTAAATGACCCTGGGGTCGCTGGTATCTACCACGGATGGTAAGCATTGGGCCATTATACTGGCCTACTCAAAGATATTAGTTGAACGCAGAGTTGGTGTTGTAGAGCGCGCAGCGCCCTTCTGTGGGAAAAAGGTATTAAAAAACCCCACTTTTCATTGATTTTTAATAAATAGATAAAATGTTGTGCCTTGCCGGACAGTGTGGTCCAATGGACGGGTCTCAACTGTAAAAGTGAACTTGGGGTATATGCGCGTGAGCGCGGGGTTGGTTATTGGGGGTGACCGCCCTGCACCTTAGTCATTCCAGCGATCTGAAGGATCGCGGGTGATGGCTCTGATGCAGGTGAGGGAGATTGTGTGGGATGCCAGAGAATGAGGATTGGAAGGATTTTAAGAATTTACCAGGGTTCAGGGAGGTTCAAAATAGATCGGTAAATTCTTATACGGCGGTCCGTGCACTATGGGGTTGTCTGGATCGAACCTGATTGCAGTGAGGCTGCGTGTAAGTGGGGAGCCGTTGATTTGGTATCTGTAAAATTTCTCGCTGACCTCGTCCAGGTAGTCAGTGATATAGGGAATGGATGCTTGCGCATGCATATCCCTTATCCTTGCATACCTGGACTCGGACAGGACTCCCCTGAGGATGCGATTCTGGAATCGCTGAAAGCGATTCCTCTGGGTTCTGGAGATGATATTCCAGACAGGGGCCCCATAGGTTAGCATTGGTCTTATGACCTGCATGTAAATTCGCAATTTATTGCCGGGGGATAGGGATGAGTTGGGACCAATGAGGGGGTAGAGTTTTTGCTGCGCACTTGAGGTGCGAGCCAAAGCGTGGGATACATGATGATGGAATTTCATTCTCTGGTCGAAGATGATGCCGAGGTATCGTGCTTTTGGGGATAGAGTCACTGGGATGTTGTTTACGATAAGTGGGGTGGGCATGGTGCTATTGGTATGTTTCTTGTGGAAACATATCATTTCCGTTTTTTGTCCATTAACACCAAGCTTCCACTTATCGTAATAGGGTTGAAGGATTGAGAGGTGGTGGGCAAGCTGAAATTTTGTTGCTTGAGTGTAGTAGGATTGAGCGTAAACAGCAGTGTCATCTCCGTACAGCGCCAGATTTGTGTTTTGGAATTTTGGAATGTCCGCTGTGTACAGAGAGTACAGCAGCGGACTGAGTGCCGACCCCTGGGGCACTCCGGCCTGTATTGGTTTGGAGTTCGAGAGGGCGTCATCTTGTTTGACGCAGAAAGTGCGGCCGCTGATAAATGACTGTATCAGGGAGATGATGTGTAATGGGAAATTGAAAGTTGTGAGAAGCTTGTAGATAAGGCCTGAGTGCCAGACCCTTTCGAAGGCGCGCTCCATATCTAGGAGCAGAAGTGTCGTGTTCATGCGTCTGTTGAACGCTTGGAAGACATCGCAGCAGATTTTGGCTGCAAGAAGAGTGGTGTTGTGACGAGGGCGGAATCCGAACTGCTCGTTTGGGAGAATGGAGAAGTTCTCGACGAACCTGTTGACCCTGGACAGGATTAACTTCTCCACGAGCTTGGCAAAGGAGTTTAGAAGGGAGATTGGGGGGTAAGAGGATGGGAGTGATAGGTTTTTTCCAGGTTTGGGGATCATAACCACTACAGCGTTTTTCCATTGAAAAGGAAAATGCTGTAGTTTTAGGATTGCGTTAGTTATTTGTACCAGTTGGACAATAACTTTACGCGGGAGATTTTTGAGGGCTCGATATGGGATGCCATCTGGTCCGGGGGCCTTTTCGCTTGAGAGCCGGCGGATAATTCGAGTCATCTCACCGGGCGTGACAAGAAGTTCAGCGAGCAAGTGCTGGGGGATGGTGTATTTCCTAATGGCAAAACTGCCGCTGTGCGCTCAATGTCTTCCTGTTCAGGGGAGTTGGGTGGGAGTCCGGAGTGAACCCTCTCCAGGAAAGAAGCCAAAGCTTCCGCCTTGTCTGGGGCAGTGACGCAATCCCTGCCATTACTAGTAAGTGCAGGGGTGCGCGCAGGCTGCCGCCTCATCCTTGACGTAAGGCGCCATAGAGGGTTATCTTGGGGACGGAGATTGTCTAGAGTTTGTGCCCATCTACGGTTCCTGAACTCGCTGATGCCATCTTTGATGGCACCCTCGAGTTCCCGAACGCGTAGGCGGCCCTGTAATACTGGGTGGGTCTAGTAGGTTCTTAGAAGAGTGAGAGGACTTTGTTGTCTAAGAAATTTTTCTATGGGCGATCCTTCAGGTCCAGGACTACTTGTCGGAAAAATAACCAATCTCTAAGTAAATTCAAGGCCTTTGTGAATGCTTAGCTTCAAGATAGGGTTAGATGCCACTTGCTTGATAGAGTGTAAACTTCATACTTTTTGCCTTCCTTTTCTAAAAAATAGAAATTGACTGAAACAAATCAATGACGTTAAAAACGTTCGTCGGTTCTTAAACCAGAAATCATTCATTTTAATTTGTCAAAAAAATTGAATGTGTCATATGAATTATTCTACGACACCCCTTTTTTTCAAGTTATGACGTATTCGATATCAAAAGTATGATTCTTCGTGAAACGATCTGTAGTTACAGAGATAAAGGGGGCAACATAAAAAAAAGAGGCCAATGAGAAATTGGTCTTTTTTCACAAACTGAAAAACGTGGAACCCAAAGTTAAGGTTTTTCTCTAGTAATTCGTCAATAACTCGGCAATATAGTGCTTCGGTGCTATATACGAGCTAAAAGCCACCTTGTGACGAATTATCTGGGCCTAAACCTTTCGAAAAATTAGCAAAAAGCCACGAGAAAAGCAAAAACGTTGCTTCTTTCTCAACGAAAAATGTGGTTCTGTCACGAAATCAGTTTTTTCCTTTTTTTTTTGGTACCTTCGCGCGGGAATTTTGGTTCTGGGAAAAAAGTTAGGGATTTTCGATTTTAGGTTTATAGCTTCAAATTTTCGAATCAACAATTAAAGCGACATCTAGGAAACCAAAGAGGAAACTTGAGGTTAAAATAATTGTTTAATAAGTCTTTCTTGACAATTTGACGTTCCTCTGTTTATTATTAATAATTGATAATTTTTAATAATTTAAATTCCTTATTTTCAGATAAATGAGGTAAAATGACTGATGGTGAAGATATAATTGTTTTAATTAATGAAGCACCGAACAAGGTGAGTAGTTATTTAGAATTCAAACCAAAGGTACTTAACGGTACCTAAATTTCATTTCAGGAGGGTTCAAGATCCATGAGAGAAGATGTTCAGAGGTTCGAAAAAACCTCCTATATTGTGACCCGTAACAAGGTGGTAAATAGCCCAATTATCTTACCAATTAAATTATACAATAAACTTCCTGTAGGAATAAAAGCAATTCGAAAGGTGAATAATTTTAAAAATTTGTTTAAAAGCAGTTTGATCAAGAATTCATTTTATTCCATAGAGGAATATTTTCATATCAACACCTCAGACCTGCTACCATTATTTTAATTTTAACTTCAATTTTTGTTTATTTATTAAAGTTATGTGATTTGTTCTTTATTTTAATGTAGGTATGTATTTACTTTCTATTCTGTAAATTACCTAATCAGTTAATGTTTTTAGGAATTTTATTTACTCTTTTCTTGACATTATCCGATTCTTTGTAAAAAAAAGTCTATGGAAATGAAAATTTGTCAATTGTCAATTGAGAAAATTTCTGATATTTCAAAAAAAGGGAAAGTCAGAAATACATTTTTCCTTACAGAGTTAGGTGCTTTAATCGTTGAAATAGGACCAGATTTTCTGTGAGATATCTCCCAAGAACCTTGGAAAATCCCTTATCGGAAGATGTTACAAGACGAAAAAGTAAAAAGAGTCTAGACACTATTCAGGAACTTGGGTACCTATTACTTATATGCTGGGACCATCGTCGTCACAATGCTTTAGAGACAGCGATTTTGGATGTTATACTTGAACAAAAATATCAAGTTTTAGCGTTTTCATTATTTTTGCCAGAGGGATAGGGTTCTGGTTAAATCAACGAGGATAATCGCCACTTCTACCACAAAAGCTGAAATTGTTGCTGCGAATAAAGCATTTCAGGGATTACTAGACTTTACAAATCAATAATCAAATTTCAATTATTTCACAATTTCACCGCAGAACAAAACACATAGAACTGATACAGCTTTTTATAAAACAGAAGGAAAATTGAAAATCAAGCGAGCTTCAACTGGAGAGCAACTTGCAGAAGGTTTAAAGTCAACCCCTATTTTCTTAACCTTGTGTTCAAAAATTCCAAAAAAAAATATATGTTTTATGGTTATCGATATACTTTAATCCATATTTTTTTTTAAGCAAATTTGACTCGCCATTTTTGAGTTATATTGCAAAAACTCAAAAAAAGGTAGTTTTTCACCATTTATTTCAAAACGAATAGATGAAGTTTCCCGTTATTTCTCTTACTTACGAACTACTATTGCAATTCTACGCCACATATATTTTTTTCAAATTTTTTGAACTTGTAGTTTTCTTGCTACTGCAAAAATAGTTGGAAATACGCCCGTAGCTACACTGTTTAGAAAAAAATCCGACGGATGAACGTTCAAAATTATTTGCGTTGGTCTAAACTACAACCCTGTTTATGTAAAACAGAATAATACTTCGAATTTCCGCCAAAAAAAAGAAAAAACGTTACATCACACAATTCAACCAAATGAAGATTTCTATTTTTTTTTGACAGTCAAGTTAGGGAACACTATAGGGGCGACAGCATTGACATCTCGCGTTGCTGTAATAAACTATAGGCCTGACTTTAAACCTTAATTTACCCACATATTCATTTCTTGCACCATAAATAGGTATCTCTTGTCAAAGTCATGCATAGGTAGAAGGTACACATATTGACGTGTAAATAAAATTCCGCCAAATAAAAGAAAATGGACTACGAAGACGATGAGCAAAATTCCCGGAAAAACCCGCCCTCAAATCGAATTATTTATTCTTTACCGTGCAGATTGGGATTGTGGCAAAACGAGGAAGAAATCAGGCAAAGTAAATGCAAGGCCATAGAAAACAAAAGGGACAATTGCCAGATGCTTGTGCAGCTAACGAAAAAAATGGTACGCAATATGTTAAAACCAGTCGGGCTAGAAGTAGAGGAGGCTTGTATGTTTTACGGAAAGAATTACATGATAAAAAGCTCCGGTTTTAACAACGTAAAATACGTAGATTGTTCAAAGGGCCTCTACCTCACTGGATTAATTACAGAAAAAGAGCTTCCTACTTGTCAACATTTCAGGCACGGTTGCGGTTTATCTGCTAGTCCGATGGAAGAGTCATTTACACGAAACAGTTTCGCTCTCATTAAATATAGCAGCTACCCTGGTAATAAAGTAGGAGATCCCGTTTACTACGGCGAAGACATTATGATTAAGATATCGAAGAGCCAAGTTCCGCTATACGTCCAATGCGAAAACCACACCATAGATACTTTTGGAAGCCATTTATCTCTGCGACTAACCAGCATTCCAGACGTTTATTGTAAATTCAAAGTGTTCCATTGGAATCCACAAAAACGGCAGGAATTTTTGGGAACCACTTTCACTCCTCGCACAAAAGTCGTGATACAACACACAGCTTCTGGTCAAAACTTGGCTGTGGAAACGTTGAGTTGGATGCCGACGTTTTTCGGACCCGAATGTAATGTTAGCTGTCACACCTATTTGGATTCGCATAAAATGGAAACCGACGAGAATTTTTGGATGTTTAAAAACGCACATAGGGTGCAAGTGCTAAATCGAATGTTCCACATGGCCGCCCAGGAAGAGGAGACTAATAATAATTCTACTCTTTGAGAATAGAATTTTTTAATAAAATATTTCAGTTTCAAATAATTATTTATATTGCTTTGAAACGCCAAAATAGTTGAAAACATTGGCATGTTTTTAGATAAATTTTGCCTGAAAAACAACCATTCAAGTGTATAATTTTCAAGTCAATCTTGGATTATATATAATAAAGGATTATGGTGCGATATAATCATCATAGGCGATCACTCGATCCGAGTATGATTGTCTTCTTTTATATTCGTATTGTCGTACGTTTTCTGATGGCTACTATATAAACTTTAAACCAATTCTGGCGCTGCACACTCTACCATAGTCTTGGCACACCCAGCCTCTGGAAGCATTGTCGTCTCGCTCCTTCCTGCAGGCCCCTCTTTTCGATCTGGTGTCTGAGGTCCTATCATTTGCCGTCATCTCCCAGTTTCTGGTATCGATGCGGCATTCTACCATATTCTTCCTAAGAACATCCTTGTAGCGTTTTTGATGAACACCCTGATTTCGATTAGATTTCCCTCTTTCAGTTGACGGTAAAGAATCTGTCGTGAAAGACGTGGTTCGGGTATGCGGACGAGATGACCTGTCCAGCGAAGTTGGTGCTTAATAATGAAGGCATCCATGCTAGTTATTTTGGCCTCCTCTAAAACACTTCTCACTAATGTTCGTTCGTCGGTCCTGCCATTTAATTCGTAGGATCCTTCTTAGGCAACACAGGTGCTTCATGTTTTGCAGCCATATGTAAGTTTTGGTATTGCAACTGCATTGTAGACGCAAAGTTTGATCTCCGCGTGATCCCAAGGCCCAAGGTATGGGTAATGCTCTACGTTCGGCAAAGAATAGTCATTAAAAGTTATATTTGGGGCTTTGGGACTAGTATCAGGGGCGGGTTGGTACCTGCGTCCTGTTAAAGCTGACCTTCAAGACGTGACGACGTTATCATCCGCATATTGAAGTTTAATTATTGATGTCGTCGATACTTTCCTCTTGGCTCGTAATGTGTATCTATGGATCCTATAAATAGGGAAAATAAAGTGGGTGCACTAACCCATTACTGTTTAACGCCTGTAGTTATTTGAAAAGACTTTCCTTGTCCATGGTTGCTTAGGACGGTTGGATTCGTATTATCATGCTGCATGATTCATGCAGCAGGCGGAATAACTGAATGTACTTTTCCGGACACCCAACTTTTGCCAATATCTTTCAAAGAGCTTCTCTGTTGACCGAATCAAATGCTTTCACTAATTCTATGAAGATCAAGTATAGCGGGCGATTTTGTTTTCTGGATTTCTCTTGCATTGAAAATCATGACAACTGCACCTCGGTTTGGCTAGAGCCATACTGTTTCTCTGGGTGGTTCCTTTCGGCCATTGGGATAAAATGTTTTGATAATATCTTGTATTTGCAAGTATCTTTCCTGCAAGAGAAAGGAACGATATTCCTCTGTAGTTAAAGTTCGGCAGGTATGGTTTCAGTAATCAAAATATTACTTATTAGGATGGGTTTGGGCACTAATTGTGGGGCCTCCTTGTTTTAAGAGCTCAGCAGAAATACCGTCAGTACCAGCTGACTTATTGTTCTTTAGTTGTCTGATTGCCTTTTCAACCTCCTCTCATGTGGGAAAAAACCTCGCTCAGTTCTTGTTGTATTGGTTGCTGTTCAATTTCGTTGAGTACCTATGTCATTATCTGTTAAGTAGTTCCTGAAAATCTTCCTTCCAACGGGAATTAATGGAAGAACTGCCTCTAAGCAGTATTGTGCCATATTTGGATCGTAATGGATTGAGTCCTTGAGTGGTTGGTCCGCATACCATCTTAGTAGCCTGAGAGAAGGCCATGGTACTGTTGGATTCAGCTAGTTGCTACATTTCGTTTGATTTTGTTATCCATCATTGGTTCTTCAATATTTGCGTTTGCCTTTGAACTTCTGCTTGAATTTCATTGTCGTTCTCATCAATCAGTCTTGATGTTTCTCTTGAGTAGCCGACTGTTTCTTCCGAAGCAGATGTTTTTGTGGACTTCACTATTTCCCGGAGGCTTAGAAGATCCTGACATGATCGTTTTGAAGGCGTTCTATGTTAAATTTGCGTCCAAGGGTCTATAGAGATGCGATGGAAACTCACACCCAGCACCAGCAAAATTTCAACAGATCTGAAGAAACACCAGAATATGCATACCTATCGAGTCTTAAAAATACAACAAAGCTGCCTTACAAAGACAAGGAAAATGAATCTTGGGAATATGAACAATCAAGCAGAACCTGCTCCCGCGACGAGCAGACCACTAGTCTGCGATCAGTCGCTCAGCAAGCAACATATTCTAAAGATGATATTTACGAAATGTCGAGAACCGATCCCCAACGATGACGCCCGAACAGCCCGGAAACCCACTTATTGGACGATGACCGCGAAAGCCTTTCACAATTTCTAAAACTTCTTTCGGTTCCGTCTTCACCTTAGTGAAGATTGTCAACAATCTCTCGAAATGGGTCCGGTCCTGACCAGCTCGGAAAAGGGGAATATGACTAATTTGACTCTGGACCGGTCCAGGCTCTTATATTTTTCAACCACGAATGTTGGCGTTTTCCTATACCTCGTCTGTCCTCTATCATTATTTTTAGCAGTTTCATCCCGATCACTCCGAACTACATGTCCTTAGTACGCGGTTTTCCTCTTTTTCATTTCACTAAGTAACTCTCGGTCTTTACCTATTCTTCTCAGAACTTCTTCATTACTAATATGGTCTGACCACGGCATTTTTAAGAGCCTTTTGTACGCCCACTACTTGAATGCTTCCAGCCGCCTTAGTGTTTTGGCCTTTAGTGATCGGTCACAAAGCACTGGTCACTTTGTTGTCGCGGTTGTTGAATACTGATCTCGCCAGTTCTATGCAACCTCTGATTTCTGTATTAGGATTCAGTTCAAATGTTATATTGGAACCTAAATGCTTGAACTAGGTTACGTTTTCGATTTGAACTTATTTATTATACTCTGGTGCTGCAACGGTCTACTAATAGCCATTAATTTGATTTTCTTTATGTTTATTTCAAAGCCCCCCTCTCCTACTCTGTTGATTCTATTTAATAGTCGTTGAAGTCCTTTTACGCTATCGGCTATGATGGCAGTATCATCTGCAAAGCGTAAGTTATTGATAATATCTGCTTATTTTAATGCCGTGTTCTATACAGTGGCTAAATAAACCTTTACATACAGTGGCGACAATAGAGGTCCCGCCGCCATCTTGTTCCCAACCTCTTGTTACTTTTAAATATTAATATATAGGATTTAAATGAACATCTATCATAAAAAATTGAAATTGGACGTATTTGATGACCATTATTAGGTCCATCAAATACGTGTTTTCCATGATTTATAATGGATGTTCACCTAAATCCCATATATTCATATTTAAAAGTAACAAGTTGTTGGGAACAAGATGGCGGCGTTTTCAATATAAATATATGGGATTTTAGAACCAATCAAAAATGAGACAGCAATTGTCGCCACTGTGGGTAATAGAGTCAATGTAGTGTTCTATGCCTTGTAGAGCTTCATCGAATATGTAGCCAGAATATAATATTAAATAGTAAGGGCGATGAATAATGAAACACATTCCTGTCGCACTCCCCTATGAATCTCTTCGACACTGATAGCGATGGCTGCCACAAGATGGAGTTATCCGACATTCCATTTTCATCCAAAAATGGATGCAGGCCCCGAATTCTGGGATCGTCAATGGAAAGACTTGCTTGTTAAATCTGCTTGAAGACAAACATTTATCATGTTCTTCCACCGTTAGTTCGGACTTTCACTTTTTGTCAGAGTTTTTGCAATTCTGAATAAACTAAAAATCCAAGCAATCATTCTAACTGTTTTATCATATTTAGAAAAATAGTCCAGGTGCCAGTTGATCGAATTTTCTGAAACGGAGAGCGTCGTAACAAGTTTCTTTCTACGTTTTTGTTTGTGATATTCTGCTGATACCTATTTTTTGATGTTACCCACAGTAAAATGGAAAACTATTGTAAAAAATAAATTTTCTGAGTAAAATTTTATGACCTATTAACACAGATAGACAGAACAATAAACAATAATATCGGTTGACTACATGCCAGGAATTTGGGCATATACAGAATGTTCTGGAATTTCTCTCAAACTCTCTTCAAAAATCTTTCCTGGTCTTTGATTGAAGTTCCAAACATATCGGTTAAGTCACGAATTGGATATAGCTTTATTGTCGAATAGAATGTTCCAGAATTTTCTTGAAATGTCTTTTCTAAATGTCAATTGATATAGCAAACACGTCGGTGAAGTCACATATTCGATATGTCAAGTTTCAAGTTTCTCCCTGGGTTTCCAAAAAGAATGTTCTAGAATTTTCCCCAAATTCCTCGACATTCTTTTTCTGAATGAAATTTTCTAGAACTTACTTGAAAATTTATCATCCCAGTCAAAATCGGGTAAAGAGTTACTTCCGGTGTAATCTACACAATCGGTTAAGTCTCTTTCGAGTTTCGTGATTGTCACTGCTTACACTGAATAATTGTTCCAGTGTTCACTTAGTGTCCACACTAGTGTACACACTACTCTGCAACAGTGGCGACGCTAGGGTGTTACATTAGGGGGGGCCAGACTGGGCCAGAAAAATTTAGGGGGGGCACTTGTTTTTACTTTATTGCTTTTTTTTTGGAATAAAAAATGGGAAGTCAACACTAATATGTTTAGGGGAATCCCAAGAAAACTTGACCTTATAGGACTGCCTATTGAGCTGAAAGTGTCTACCATTTCAGCCGCAGACCTCAACTTTCGGCGTAAAATGCATTAGCTGAACTTGAATCGCAAACATCCCATCGAGCCTGCGAGTGACGTCACCACTATACTTTAGCCTAGTACTCATAACCGCGAAATTCGCTGTTTTTTGACATTGCATTGACAATTTGACGTTTTATGCGTGAATTGAACGTCAAATCGTCGAAGCAACGTCAAAAAAGAGCGAATTTCGCGGTTATGAGTACTA